TGCCGGGGCTGTGGAGAGCCCGAGTGCAGCCTGAGCCCGGTGCCGCCGGCCTTGGCACCGCCCGGAGCCGGGACCGGGGGCTCTGCCCGGCTTCCCCCTCCCCAGGGCAGTGACCCCGTCCGGCAGCGCTGGCTCCGAGCCTTAGTGCCGGGTCCCCCTTCTTAAATAGTGTTGAATAATGTTAAATAACAGGAACTGGTTAAAAAATCTCCTGGTGGGGAACGAGGGGCTTCTTGTTTCTTGCCTGGAAACAAGAAGTGGAGGAGCAGCCGCCGGCCTGTCTGTGCGGTGGGGCCCGTCCCCCCGGGGCCGGGGTTTGCTCTGGTCCCCAGGGCTGAGCGCCGGGACCCCGGGATGGTGCCCTCGTCCCTGGGGTGGCCGTGGCTCCCGCGGGAGGGGATCCCGGCGCTGAAGGTACCTGTGTGGGTCTGAGAGAGGCAGCCGCTTGCCCCTGCCTGGGTGCCCAGTGCGGTAAGGTCACCGGCCAGTCACCGGGCAGTCTCCCGGGTTGGAAATGAGCCCTGCAGCTCTGCCCAGCACCGGCAGACGTGGCAGCACAGGGCACCAAGGCGCCGTGCCAGGCCTTGAGCACACACCGGGCAACCTCGGCACCGCCACCAACGGCCCCGGAGGCTGCGGGGAGCAGGGGGCGCGTGCGGCTCAGCGCCCCGTCCTGCTGCCGAGGGGCCAGGGCTGCCCAGGCCTTGGTGCTGGCCAGTGGGGTCCCCGCACCGGGAGTGGGGTGTCCTGGCACCGCTGGGGGTGCTCCCAGCCTGGTGACACTTGCACAGCTATTTTTAACGTCTGGTTTTTCTTCCCCCTCCAGCCGAGGCTGGAGGATGAGCGCTGCCCGCTGTCCCGCTGCGGTGAGTTAGGGTTCCCCCATCTTTTGGAAACAGGGTGAATATTGGGGGTGCGTTGCCCTGGGCTCCCCCCTGAAGGGCCGTGTCTGTGGCAGGGCCGTGCCGGTGAGCCGTGACGGCTCCTGCTGGTGCCAGGCTGGCAGCTGCCGGGCTCCGTGCCCTTGAAGGGCCATGTCTGTGGCGGGGCCGTGCCGGTGAGCCGTGACGGCTCCTGCTGGTGCCAGGCTGGCAGCTGCCGGGCTCCGTGCCCTCCGTCCTCGGGATTGGGGACGGCAGTAAGGTGACTCCCTTGACTTATTTATTTTATTTATTTATTTTTTTAAACCACCTTTGTATCAAAACATGATCCCCAAGCACCGGTCGCGCTCTGTTTGCAGCTTGGGTTACAGCTCCCCACCCGTCTGTTAGTCATCGCCGGGGATACGTGTGTCCCTTTTATTTCTTCCAGGGCCACCTCCGTCGCTGTTTTCTCTCCGGCTGGAGGGGGGAGAGGCTGTTTTTTCCCAGCCCCAGCAGTGGTGGCCCCATCACTGCCCCCGTCCAGGGGAAGGGGGGTAAAAATCAAGGCTGTGGTGTGTGTGTGTGTGCAGCTGGCTGCCGTCCCGGGCTGTAATCGCTGGGTGCAGCCCCGCTCTGCCCCGGCCGCGGGGATGGTGGTGCCAGCACCTGATTGCGGAGCTGGGTGTCCCCCGAGCCCCAGGGAAAGCCGGGGGGACACCGCGGGGACCCGGCCCCGTGGAAGGGGTGAGCGGGTGGTGCTGCGGTGGCGGGGGGGCAGCGGGGGGCTTGCCGTGCCCTCCCAGCCCGGTGGGGTGGGTTTGGTGGTGGTGGTGGTGGTTTTCTCGCCCCCCTGGTGCTGCGCTGGAGGAAACCCACAGGAGCCTGAGGGGAAGCTGCGATGCAAGTGGGCAGAGAACAAGTGAAAAGACAGTGAAACTTCCTGTCTCCGGCGGAGCTTTTGTGAACTTTGAAACCCAAGCGGCTGCGATAAGTGCCCGGGAGCTTCTTGCTCGTCACTAGGTTTGATTTTTCACACGAATCAGCAAAGTTAGGGCCATCACTGAATTGCGTGCGTGTGTCCGAGCAATGCCCTGGCCATAGAGTTGTCATTAACAGGAGTCAAACACCTCTGCTGTACTGAGAGCGCAGTCTTCCTCCCCGGGGCTGTGGCTTTAGGGCAGTGAGGGCTCCGGGGCCAGCAGGCTTCGCTGCCCCTTGGCCACTCTGGGTGGTGGCAAGTGTCTGCTCGGGGCCCTGCTGGCCACCTCCCCGGAGGATGGAGAACCAGTGAAACCAGTCCTTGCTGGGGCAGGGGGGTGGTGGGGTAACGGTCCGGAGGGATGGGCTGGCTCAGCTGGTAATTGTGTGGCCACAGTGAGTGTTCCCGTGGCCCTCGGTGGTCGGATGATGGGGCCCGTGGCCAGATGGTGCTGGTGGTTCCAGTGGCTCCCTTGGGCTGGGCGATGGCAAACGCGAGGTGCAGTGGGTGTCAGGCTGCGTGGGGCACCTCGGGGTCCCTGCCCAGCTTCTGCTTCTGCAGAAATGAGTCTCTTCCTCTGGCTTTATGTGGTGGTGGAGTTTAATTACCCAAAACATCTCACTGCTGTTGTGCAGCTGCTTTAAACACACCAGATCCTTGGAGCAGGCCGGGGCTCAGCAGCGTAACGTGCTGCGACTGGAGCCACCAGGACCCGGGAAGGAGGATGCGGTGCCTCCTGATTGCACTGACACTGATGGCTGATGCTCTGCCTCCCCCACCGTGGGTTCTCCCTGGGGATCTTGGTGGGCTCAGTCCCGGGACCCAGGGAGGAGGATGCGGTGCCTCCTGATTGCACTGACACTGATGGCTGATGCTCTGCCTCCCCCACCGTGGGTTCTCCCTGGGGATCTTGGTGGGCTCAGTCCCCTCTGCCCTGTGTCCCCGCAGGAGGATCGAGGACTGCCTGCCCCCGCTGGAGGACTCCCCATCCAAGAGGTTCTCCCCCTCCAAGCGAAAGCAGTATTACATCAACAAGGCCATCCGCAACTCGGACCTCATCCCCCGGGCCAAGGGCCGCAAGAGCCTGCAGAGGCTGGAGAACAGTAAGAATGTGGGGCAGGCTCTGAGTCCGTGCCCCAGGGTGGGTGGCCACTGCCCCTAAACCCCTCACTGTGTGGCAAGTGGGGGTGCAGGGTGTCTCTGAGGGCTCTGCCCTCTGTCTTGGGGGCTTTGCTCTTCCCCCAGCTCGTTACCTGATGACTCTTCTGGAGCGGGACGAGTGCGGGAGCGACGAGGGAGAGCTTGTCCACTCGGCCACCCCGAGCATCTTCACCGAGGCCTGTAACAACGAGACCTACGTGGAGGTGGGTGCAGCCGTGGGGACTCGCAGCGGGGACCCTGGCACGGCACGTGCGGTTCCAGCAGGACGTGGTGTCTGTACCTTGTCCCTCCAGCCCGAGGAACCCTCTGCCTCCCCGGCCTGAGCTGCTGGACCCTAACTCCTGCCCTGGCCCTGCAGCCTGTGGGGTGGGGGATCTCTGGGCAGATCTTCTCATGGAGGATCCCCACAAATGTGTGGTGCAAGGGCCAGGTCCTGCTCAGAGCCTTAGCAGAGGCTGCTGCCACCCTGGCCGTGCCTGGAGCATTGCTGGGTGCCCGACGTGCAGCCTCGTACCTGGGGAGCGATTAACGCTGCAGCGTTTCCTGTGGAACAGGCCCCTTGCCAAACCCCTCCGTTGCCTCACGCTGCCCGGCCGCTGTTGCGATACCGGCTCCGTAACCGGGGGTTTTGAAACTCGGCTCCTCTCCCGCCGGCGACGCTCGGGGCCGTGGCTGCGGAGCCGCCCGCGCGGGCTGTGCGTGCTCTGCAGAGCCCTGCTCTCACCCAGCCGCCTGCGAGGTGGGGTCACACGGATGGGCTGCCCTGTCAGCACCTGGGCTCCTGGGAACCTGTTAAAAAAAACACCTTTGTGTTGTCTCCGAGTGCTAAATCCACGTCTCCTCCCAGAGCGGCCGTTAGGAGCTGTGGTGGGCGATGGGGAGCTGGAGAGATGGGGAGGAAGGTGGTCACGGCTGCGGCCAGTGTCTGTCTCTGTGCTGCGGAGCTCTGCCCACCCGTTCCCTCCTCACTGCTGTTCCTGCTCCACCGGGGCCATCCCTGGGGACGGGTGGGTGAGGAGGGGGCTCAAGGGGTGCCGGGTGGGGGCTCAGGGTGGCCGTGCTCCCCCGGGAGCTCTGCGATGGGGCCTGGGGGCTTGTGTTGTCAGATCTGGAACGACTTCATGAACCGGTCGGGAGAAGAGCAAGAGCGAGTCCTGCTCTACCTGGAGGAGGAGGCCAGGAAGAAGCACAAGAGGAAGCTGCCCGTCAAGAATGAAGACAAGTGGAAAGGTGCTGGGAGGGGACGCGGGGTGGGGACAGCCTCTCCCCTTCCTCCCTCGCTGCCTTTCGGGAAGGACGCTCTTCCCCGAGGGCTGCATCCCGCTCCCTGCACCATCCGCCCCTCACGGGGCCGGGGGACCACTGAGCTGCCCCCTGGGGTGCTGGGGGGGAGTTATGCCAGGCAGACCCCCTGCCGTGGGTTCAGGAGGGTGTGGGGAGTGGGGGGTGGCCGGGGCAGTGAGCACAGCAGCCATCCCCAGTTGCAGACCCCCAAATCTCCGCACCCTCTAAACACTCCTTGGCTGGGGAGGGTGTTGCTGGTCTGGGGGTGACTTTGTGCAGGTCCAGGAGCACAGGAGGTGACCAGCCGGGGTCCTTGGGGGCAGGTGGGGGACGTTGGGCTCCTGAGAGGTGGTGGCCAGAGCTGTCCCACGGGCACTGGGGGTGTGAGCTGTGTCCAAGCCCCCTCTGTTCTCTTTCTGCTGGCTCCAGAGCACCCTGCCTACTCGCCCAAGGAGTGCTTCCAGCGCATCAGCCGCCGCCTGCGCTCCACCCTGAAGCGGGGCCGGATCCCCATGGTGAGCTGGGGGCTACCGGGGGGCTGGGGGCAAGCAGGGCTCTGGCTGACAGTGCCCCACACACAGCTCTGTTTGGAGCCCTGTCCCAAGGGCTGTCCCCTGACCCCACACGCGGTCACCGAGCCAGACCAGTGCCCAATTTCAGACGAGCTCCCGGGGAATGTGCTCCAGCTCTCGTCTGACCTCTGCAGCGGTGGCTGATTGCAAACAGACATTCAGCTCCCCGTGCGGATGGATTTTCCGGGCTCCATTCAGACGTTTCTGGTGGTTACAGGGCACTTGTACGTGGTTGTTCCCCAGTCTCTGCTCGATGAGCAGCAGGTGACAGGGGAAACCCAGCACGTTTGCCCACGGGGGCAGTAGTGGAGCCTTTGGGGTCTTCAGAACGGTCTGCACAGGGCTATTTGGAAAAAATTCAAATGCATTTTGACTGCATAAACCTCTGAGCAGACAATTAAGCCTGAAAGGAGAGGCAAGCGTGGCCTCGTGCCGCCTGGCTCAGGGAGCTGAGCTGCCACGCGCGGCCCCCGCGCTGCTTGCCCAGACACTTGCCCTCCTGGGCCCCGGGGGTGCCTGGCTCCCCGCTCCCTCTTCTCAATGGTGCTGTTTTCCTGCCCTGTTTGTTTTCCTTGCTCTAATTAGAGTCTCTAAAAGCAGCCTCGGCTCCTCCTGCCCGCTGGCTTCTGCTCAATTTGTTCTCAAATGAGACTGGCTTCTGCTGCCTGTCTCTGGGGTCACGGTGCTCCAGGGAGCTGCATCGAGCTGATCTTTGCCTGTCAGGAGAAAAAGAGATGGGAGGCACGAGGCTTTCCTGGCTGCTGCCGCCGCTCCGAGCGTGAGGGACGATGCCAGCCCTTGGCACACAGAGCAGGGAGTTGGCAGGGGACGGATTCCTCCCCGCCTCGGGGGCTGGAGAGAGGAGTTGTCTCCTCTCCCCCTGCCTTCCTGCCGTCTCGCATCCAGATTATTTGCCTGGGAGCTGCTGGCAGTAACTCCCCGGGAATTACCGGGGCTGTGGAACTCGGGAGTCTCTCCCCGTCGTGCTGGGGCTGTGGGGACGTGGTGGGGGCGTGTGGCTGGGGCAGCAGCCCCTCAAAGGCACACTGTGGGCGCAGAGCTGTGTGGGGCAAGGTGGCTTTGCCCACGTTGGGGCACACGTGGCAAACGCCAGCTCCCCTTGCCCGGCTCTTTGCCCTCACCCGGTGCCACAGGGTCCGGCCACCTCCCCCTCCTCGCTGACAGCCCCTACCTCTCCTTGCAGGGGACGCTGGAGGGCCTGGAGGAGGAGCTGCTGGCCTTTTTCTCCGTCACCCCTCACTCCGTCTACACCGCGCTGATGGACAACAGGTATTTCTCCCCCTGGAGCTCTGTGGGGCATCGCTGCCCCCCATGGAGCAGGGGCCGGGGTCCTGAGCTGTGTGCACCCACACTGGGGTTCCCTGCTCACCACGGCTGGAGCAAACTGCCGTGCAGGGGGGCTGCTCCTCTGGGTTCCCTGCACCCCAGAGCAGTCCTGGGCTGCAGGGGGGCTCTGGGAGCTGAGGAGACCCCCAGCCTCGGGTCTCTGACTGGGGACACTGGCCCCTGTGGCACCCCCAAGGGAGCAATGCACTTTGTGCTCCCTGACTCCTGTCCATGGGAGGAATGAGGGTGGGCAACGCTTGGGGGATGTGGGTCTGAGTCTTGTCAGCTCTAACCCTGTCCCTGTCTCCCCCAGCTTCGAGCGACTCCTGCTCCATGCGCTCTGCCAGTACATGGACCTCGTCTCTGCCAGTAAGAGCCTCGGGTTTCCTTGTTTGTTTGGTTTTTGGGGTTGTTTTTGTTTTTCCCTTCCTCTTCATCACTATCTCTCCTCTCCAGCTCAACCTCTTCCTCCCTCCCTCCTCTGGGCCCCACCTTGCACTGGGGCTCACAGATAACCCCGCTCTCCCTCCTCCTCCGTAGCCCGGGCCGGGCTCACGCTGCTGCACCAGTGGCCAGTGGGCAACATGGGCCACTGTCAGGGCTGAAGCCCAGCAGTGGGGGTGGTGGCCAGACCCAGCTCTGCCTGGGGGGGTCTCGTTTGCAGCAGCGCTGCCATTTCTGCTCTGGGTGCAGGGGTTTGGTGGCCCAAAGCTGGAGGCTGCTCGTGGGGCTTCCTCTCCTGTGGCTGCTGTCTCCTCGCGCAGAGCGTGGCCGTGCCCCGGGGAGGTTTGGTTGCCAAGGCAGGGGAGGAGGCACCGGGCTCGGTCCCTGCGGAGGAGTCTCCGCTGCGGAGCCGTTCATTAGCAGCTGCTGGTGGAAAGCAGCGTGAGAGCACTAATGATGTGGGGCCCGTGGTGCCAGCAGGGTTGTGTGGAGGGGGCTGGGGGGGGACACAGAATCTTCATGGTTGGGAGGGACCTTTGAGATCATCAAGTCCAACCGTAAAAAACAAAACGAAAAAAACAAACAAAAAATCCACCACCCCCAGCCACAAACAGACACAACCCAACAATCTCAGGCACTAGAGCGTGCCCTGAAGTGCCACGTCTACAGGGTTCTTAAACACCTCCAGGGATGGTGACTCCACCACCTCCCTGGGCAGGCTGTTCCAGGGCCTGACCGCCCTCTCAGGAAAGACATTCTTCCTGATACCTAATCTAACCCTCCCCTGCCCCAACCTCAGACCATTTCCTCTGCTCCTGTCGTTATTCCCTTGGGAGAAGAGGCCAACCCCCACCTCTCTACACCCTCCTTTCGGGGAGTTGTAGAGGGCAATGAGGTCTTCCCTCAGCCTTGTCTTCTCCAAACTAAACATGGCCAGTTCAAGACAGTCGCAGCCTTTTCCGGGTGTGGAGGAACCTGTGCTCGGGGGGAGGCGGTGGGGCTGGGAATTTCGAGTTTGGGCCCTACAGGAGGGGGACGGAGATGTGCTCACGGCTGCCTCTCTCCCCCCAGGTTCAGACATCGAAGGGAAACGTCAAATGAAAGTGAGCAACAAGCACCGCGTCTTCCTGCCCCCCGAGCTCCTGCTCTCAGACTACCTGGGGCAGATGAGCTGATGCCCCCGAGGGACGCCCTGCCCCTCGCCTGGCGCGCCGATGGCTGCCTTCCTCCGCTCCCGGCCTCTCCCAGCCCCGCCGTCCCCTCGCTCCGGCCTTCCCAGGACCAGCCCCGGCCTCGTCCCTTCCCCGCCGCTGAGAGCAGACGCTTGATGGTGCTGAGCGGGGGGCTCCGGGACCCCCGCAGCGTGATCCTGCCAGATACCGCCACGCTCCGGGTGCAGCCGCCCCGGTGCCGATCCCCCGCGCTGCTTCCCGGCCGGAGCGGCTTCCCCGGAACTCTTTGTGTGTCTATTTATAGCCCAGGTGCTTTTAAAAAAAATAATGGGGTTGGGCCAAACCCCCCTCTGGCACCGACGCTCCCCGGGTGATGTCGGTCCAGATTTTTCTGCAGTGAACCATCTCCTGGCGGGTGCTGAGCAAGCGCTGAGCCGGCGGAAGGGCCTGGGGGGCCCGCGCCTCCCCAGCCTTGCCCTGCGCCCCCAGCCCCGCACCAGCCCCCCCCCCAGCCCCTCCTGGGGTGTCCCAGGGGGGGCTCAGCCCCCGCAGCCGCGGGGTGGGAGCTCTCCCCACGCTGGTGTGTCACAGCACCCTGTTCCCTGCACCCCGGGGGATGGGCTGGTTTTAAATGTAAATAGTGTTTTTTAATGTGTGTGTATATATGTGTGTGTGTGTGTGTGCTGGAGGAGCACAGTCTGCCCCACGGGGGCTCTGGCTGCTGTGGGGGCAGTTTGGGGGTCCCCCCGTGTCCCCAGGGCTGCTGGCAGGGGAGTTGGGGGGGGGGCCC